CAGAGCCTCTCCAAGATGCTGCAGAGGAAAACCCAGCCATGACTTCAAACAAGGGCTGCTTAAGCCAAGCCCCATCCATAACCTGCCAGCCACGCTCGGGGAGCCCAGCGGTGCCTCACGTCACGTGTGACCTTTCGTAATCTTCACAGTGGACTTATTTTAAACAAAAAAATAAAGGCAGCCTCTTGTCAGGCCCTGGTGGCTCCGTGCAGCCTGCGTGATTCATTATGCAGTGGGCTGGCAGGTGGGCACACGCCAGCAGAGCAATATTTCCTCATTAGAGCCATCGCCGGCGGGCGCCCTGTCCCTGCAGCGCTCGGCAAGGAGAGCTTCCTCCGCGCGTGCGCGCTGCGAACACATCTGCACGCAAGGTCGCTGGTGCCACAAGCTGATTTAGGGCTCTCTGAGCCAGGTCCTTAATCCAATTACGGGCAGAGGCCGTTCATCACCAGAAACAGAATTAACCCCGTGCACCTCTTTGCACCGGGCGCGTTCCCAACTCCCGAGCGCAGCGGCTGCTGGAGGCACCTTCCCAAACGGCCTGAGCTAGGATGCAGCAGCACGGCACCCTGCAGGGAGTCCAGGATGCCCCTCAGCAGAGGCAGCCCAGCCACCCTTTCGGCTGGACTGACTGGGAAGCAGGCTGCATCTGGGGAGACGTCCAAACCATGAATGAATCTAGCTACCAAGGCCCCAGCAAGTCCTGGAATGGGAGCCGCAAACTACCGCTTTCGCTGGAGGACTGGAGTGAGCTGCAACAGCTTCATTGGCTGCATGCAAGTCACTTGGCAGCACCACAGGGGAAAACACCAACCCTTCGAGTCAAACAACAGGCTTCCTCCAGAGCAGCGCAGCAACCCTCAGGCCTGTGCCAGGAGCAGAGATGAACCCGCTGCAGCCGGTTCATCATACAGCCATGAGCCATCAACAGCCCTCAGGAGAGCACCTCCCTCCGTGGGTCCTGGGCCGAATGCTACCTCCCATCTTCCCCTCCCAGGTTCACTCTGGACTAGATGACCTTCGGATGTCCCTTCCAGCCCTACTTCTTTATGACACCACCAATGGGCAAGAAGAGCAGCAGCGGTGGGCTCTGCTGTAGGAAGCAATAGAGGAGGAGGATGGACCATGCAGGGGGCCCAGACACCCCGGTGCCTGGATCTGCCGGGACTCACTCGGCTGTAAGAGGGCCTTATGAGGGCAGGAAGGCCACCAGGCAGCCCTGGGCAGGATGCCCAGCTGTTCCCTCCTGCAGCAGCACTCCAAGGGCTGGCAGGCGATGGCTGGAGCTGGGCTAGGGGAGGATGCAGCGGAGCTCCCCGACATACTCAGTGCCTAGCCCGAGCAGCCGCTGTCAACCGAGCGTCTTCGACTGCCACCACGACGTGCTCAGGATCCTGTTCGAGGGTAGACGCGGAGCTGATGAACCAACCCCACTGGGCCCTGGCCCCACTGAGGGACTGTGTGCACTCCAGGTCCAGCACAGAGCAACACAACAAGTGGCCAAATCCCGGAGCGGCGAGGCTGCGACCTGGCGCCGGGCAGCCAAGCCTCGTTCTGCCGGGACCACTGCCGAGCACGGCGCCCGGGGGCGCAGAAGCCAGCAGACCCTGTTCCTGACCACGCGGGCGGCAGGCGAGAAGGCAGCTGGTCCTTCCCCCGCCCCACCACAACGGTCACGCTGCTGCCAACACGTGGAGCAGCCCTGACTCCCACGATGCGTTGGAGGAAGATCTGCACCGGGTGCAGACGCCACTTCCGCAGCCTTTTCCAACCGCTGCCCCTCTTCAAATGCTGATCTGCCTCCGGGGCTGCACCACGCAGACACCTCCCCGCTTTGTTTCCCTGTCGTGGAGCCGTCAAGTCGCTAACCTCCAAATGAGCATCCCGATGCCATTTCTAATCTACCGGCGATGTGTGCTGAGATGCCCCTTGCTGATGGGAGAAGACAGCAATAAGATGGGCTTCTCTGAAGCTAAAATGAGCTTCTCTCACACTAATGAGGCGGGACTGACAGGGCAGGCCTAGAGGTGTCAAGTGAAGACTTGAAACCTAAAGACGCACCGAAATTGCCGCCGCTGCAGACGGGAAGAGGGTGCGAGGAAGGCTCCATGCCCCTCTCTTCATGCCCGAGTCTGGTTGCCTCGCCCAGCCCAGCCGGTCTGCGGCAGAGCAGGAGAGGGCAGCCCTGGCCCCAGAGGGAATGCCGCCTCCTCTCCCCACTCTTGCAACAGCAGAGTCATTTGAGCATGTGCCAAGCAGCAAGCAAAACCTCAGAGGTTTTCAGTGGCTCAGGAGGTGTGAAACCACACCCAGGCCTTGGTTTCTGCACTCGGGGACACAGCTCAGCCCCACTCCCACCACCCGGCTCTGTGCGGGCAGGCTCAGGCGGAAGGATGCCTCGAGCAGGGCACCGCACAGGCTGACCCGTGGTCCCTCCCAGCCCTGCTTTCCATGCCTCCCTACCAGGGAAGTCAGCCAGTCACAGCGGCGTGGCTGTCCGGTGACCAAGGCAGACACCAGGTATCGCACAGCAGCGAGTCCCGTCATCAAGCGCTTGATCCAATCTAGGAAAGAGACACACGTGTGTGCATGTACGTGTGTGCACACCAGCCCGTGGACCAGGGTAGGTGGCAGTGGGAAGGCAGAGAACACAGCTGTGATCAGCCTGCGAGGAGCAGAAGGAATCTCCTGGGGGCCCCAGTCCAGTCCCTCGATCCCAGGCATAAACCCCTCCACGGTGGCTCAAAGCTCCCAGTAAACAACGAACCTGGCACACGCTGCAGGAAGGGAACGGGAGACAAGCTGTGATGGCTAGAGCACAGGAGGCAAAATATGCTCGGGGAAGAGGCTCACGTACTACATACAGAGGAAGGTAGCCCCCCCTTTCCGCCAACCAGTCCTTGCAAACCTGACTTGGGGGTAACCCTCCTGCCCCTGTATCAAGCAGTGGTTTGATCCCGTGTGCAGGGGCAAGACCCGCCTGCCTGGCACCAGCAGCACCACCCTGCCAATATCCTGCCTGCAGCCACGGCTCAAGAGGAAGGTTTAAAAAGTGCCAGAAGCCAACAAATCCATTCAAGGGGGGGAAAGGATGCCTTTCTGGTACTGCAAACAGGCAGCAGCAGGCCTGGAGCACGCAGCAGATGCAGCAGGCTGCAGTCCAACAGCATTTTAAA